CGCGCATTTTCATGCAGTTTATGCTGAACCAGAACCTGGAAAACCAAGCGAGGAGGAGGCTGCGACTGCAGCGCGGTGACGAGAGTGATGAGGACATGGACATAGAATTCTCTCAAACCGTCGGCCCAGGCCCTTTGGACATCATGCTGTTAATGAAGCAGGTTATAGCCGTGGAACGCCGATTCTGGGCCCGGGAAACAAGCACAGACTGGTGGGACCGCATAGTGTGGGACGATTCCCCAGTGGCTGCGAAACTTTCGCATGCGTAAGGGCACTTTCATGGAACTTTGTGACTTGCTTTCCCCTGCCGAAGCGCAAGAATACCAAGATGAGAGCAGCCCTCACAGTTGAGAAGCGAGTGGTGATAGCCCTGTGGAAGCTTGCAACGCCAGACAGCTACCAGTCAGTCAGGAATCAATTTGGAGTGGGCAAATCTACTGTGGGGGCTGCTGTGATGCAAGTAGTCAGAGCAATCACTTAGCTGCTGCTACCAAAGGTAGTGACTCTGGAAAATGTGCAGGACATAGTGGATGGCTTTGCTGCAATGGGATTCCCTAACTGTGGTGAGGCGATAGATGGAACCCATATCCCTATCTTGGCACCGGAGCACCAGGGCAGCCAGTACATAAACCGAAAGGGGTACTTTTCAATGGTGCTGCAAGCACTGGTGGATCACAAGGGACGTTTCACCAACATCAATGTGGGATGGCCAGGAAGGGTTCATGACGCTCGCGTCTTCAGGAACACTACTCTGTTTAAATGGTTGCAGCAAGGGATTTACTTCCCAAACCAGAAAATAACCGTTGGGGATGTTGAGATGCCTATAGTTATCCTTGGGGACCCAGCCTACACCTTAATGCTATGGCTCATGAAGCCATACACAGGCAGCCTGGACAGTAGTCGGGAGCTGTTCAACTACAGGCTGAGCAAGTGCAGAATGGTGGTAGAATGTGAATTTGGACGTCTAAAGGGTCGCTGGCGCACGTTACTGACTCGCTCAGACCTCAGCCAAACCAATATTCCCATTGTTATTGCTGCTTGCTGTGTGCTTCACAATCTGTGTGAGAGTAAGGGGGAGACCTCTATGGAGGGGTGGGAGACTGAGGCAAATCGCCTGTCCACTGATTACGCGCAGCCAGACACCAGGGCGATTAGAAGAGCACACCAGGAAGCACTGCGCATCAGAGAAGCTTTGAAAACCAGTTTCATGACTGGCCAGGCTACTGTGTGAAAGTTCTGTTTGTTTTTCCTTGGTGAAAACCCGCTCCTTTGATTGACTCCTTCTCTGTAAGCAACCCATCCTCCCCCTTTGATCACAGCTTGCTTGCAAAGGAAATAAAGTCACTATCATTTAAAAATCATGTATTCTTTATTAATTGATTATAAAAAGAGGGAGAGAACTGACAAGGTAGCCCGGGTGGGGTTTGGGAGCAGGATAGGAGGGAAGGAAAAGGCCACTAAAAAGTTCAATATAATGACAGCCTTTTGGTTGGGCTGTCCACTGGGGAGGAGTGAGAGGGTGCATGGAGCCTTTCACCCCCCCACCCCCCGCGTTCTTACATGTCTGGGTGAGGAGTCTATGGAACATGGTGAGGGGGGAGGGCAGTTATACAAGGGCTGCAGCGGCACTCTGTGATCCTGCTGCCATTCCTGAAGCTCCACCAGACGGAACATGTCCATTTGCTCACACAGCAGCCCCAGCATTGCATCCTGCCTCCTCTGATCTTCCTGCCGCCACCTCTCATCTCGAGCATCCCTCATGGCCTCATGTTCACTGGCATCTTTCCTGTACTGTGATACTGCGTCCTTCCACTCATTCAGATGAGCTCTTTCATTATGGGTCGATTCCATGATTTCAGAGAACATTTCATCTCGCGTCCTTTTTTTCCGCCGCCTTATCTGAGATAGCCTTTGGGACGGAGGAGGGAGTCTTGAAAAATTTGCAGCTGCGGGAGGGAGGGAAAAAAAGGGAGAGAAGTATTTAAAAAGATACATTTTACAGAATAATGATTATACTCTTTCACAGTGAACAACACTATTCACATTACATAGCATATGTGATTTCAGTACAAGGTCGCATTTTGCATCTTAATATTGAGTGCCTGTGGATTTGGTGTTAGAGATCACAGACGCAGATCCGAGCAACAGAATTCGGCTTGCATGCGGCCATGGTAAGCCATTGTCTTTCGGCTTCTGCAGCCTTCAGAAAACCAGCGCCCTCCTTTCCCACAAACCAAGCAAAGCCCGTTGGTTGAGTGCTGTGGTTTTCCTGTTAACGTGCAGCATCAGGAACCAAACTAACCTCCCCCCATCCAATTTTCTGGGATGATCGCTTTATCCCTCCCCCCACTGCATGGCTGGTATCAGCGAAGATCCCTCCAGAAACCAAACTAACCCTCCCCACCATTCAATTCTCTGGCATGATCGCTTTATCCCTCCCCCCACCGCGTGACTGGTATCAGGGAAGATCCCTGCTAGCCAAACGCAAAAAGCTCAGCACCAATCCCCCTCTACCCCTCGCTTGGCTAACTGCAGGGAAGGATTTCCTTTCAGCCATAGGCAAACAGCCCAGTAGGAACAGCCACTTCTGTCCCCTTAATTAAATTCCCATATTTCAACCAGGGTACCATGAGCGATATCACTCTCCTGAGGATAACACAGCGAGATAAAGAACGGATGATGCTTGAATGCCAGCAAACACCGGGACCATACGCTGCCAGGCTTTGTCATGCAATGATACCAGATTACTTGCTACTAGCATGGTGTGGTCAAGTGTCCTACCATGGAGGACGGAATAAGGCTGCACTGCCCAGAAACCTTCTGGAAAGGCTTTTGGAGTACCTCTAGGAGAGCTTCATGGAGATGTCCCTGGAGGATTTCCGATCCATCCCCAGAAACATTGGGGAGGAGTTCAGAAATCGATTTTAAGAGCCCTTTATGTCAAAGTAAATGGCTTCGTTGTGTGGACGGGTGCAGGGTTAATTCGATTTAATGCTGCTAAATTCGAACTAAACTCATAGTGTAGACCAGGCCTTAGAAACCAATCGCAAATCTTGAACCAAAATATTACCATGTAAGGATAATCAAGGTGTAAATGGGACTGTATATAAATCTATGGCAGTAGCGGCCAGAGAGAGATGTAACCCACAATAGCAAAAAATCAGGATTGACTGGAAGCAGTAGGGCCCTCCCATAGATCCGAAGGGACATCAAGGACTCTCATCACGTCGCGGTTCGATCTCTGGGAAGCTGAAACCTGGCCAGTCTCAGTCACCTAGGACAAAAGCAACATCCGCATCTGCAGCCTGTCGCCAGTATGAATGGGATGTGTGTGAGAGTATAATTGCGCAAATAAGGGAAGCAAGCAATAAATCAACCCTCAGTACTGCTTCAGTTCAACCTTTGTGATTATTTCTTGGCTGGTTCCAAGAACGGGCAACAAGCATGCCAATCTGTAACCATTCAGTGGTGTAATGAGTTGCCTGGAACAGTGAACTTTGTGCAGGGGGGAAGCGGGAGGTGGAAATGGGTTCCATTCACAAATCTACTCCATTTCAGGGAAAAGTTGTCCATGCAGTCCATAGGTGACAAAATAATTTGTCCCAAATTCGACCGGTATTTGAAAATGTGCCAGGTTGAAGGAGAGGGTATGACTGTGGAGTTCTGTGTGTTTGCATACAGTCATAATCAGCTAAGCTGTGTAGAACCTAGCACAGCGTCCTGTTGATTCACTCATGAATTCTGACCCAATCCTGGGTGATAAAAGATGCAAACTTTTCCTGAAGCAGGAACTCCAGGTAGATAGTTGCATTTTGGGGAAGGGCGTATTTTCCAGGGCCACCTCGGTAGCTGACCAGGCCACTCCACGCCTAGAAGTGCTGTTCAGTCACTGTACATTTGAATATTTTGGGTGTACACTCTGCAGGATTCCCACCATCACCTTGGAATGACATCTCCCTTTGCCAGTCAGGCACCACAATAACTGTTATGTCCTTCAAAAGGTGTAAGGCCTGACATGATCGAAAAAGCTTTTGTAGCAAGGCCACTGACAGCCTCCCACAATGAAAGTGTTAGAAAATAAAAAAACAACTTTGAATTTTTAACTTATTTTTGTCTCTGCACTTCTTTCATTGCAATTCACAAGGCTATGTCCAAGTAGCTTCTGTGGTCTGAAGCATCCCTCTCACAATATACTAAAGTTCAGCTTGTAAAAGTAACATTTTATGTCTTGGAAATTCCACAAGGATTTTTTCTGTGCTCCTGCCCTGAGCTATTTGAGACAGTAACCCTCTGTGTCTTTTTCTAATCTAGATCCCTCAGCCTCTACTGACTGCAGTATCTCCACAGCACACTGCAATACAAACCTAGACCAAATATACCTTCATGGACCATTCCAAGATGGAGCTTTTGCATGATGAACTTATGGTTGAAGTTCTGGACAGGGCCAACAAGCAGTCCAGTATCAAAAACAGAAGGACTTATGGCTAGAGAAAAGGCATGGCAAGAGGCAAGAGGTAAGGCCTCCATGGCTGGGTAGCCCATTCAATCGGCCCCCACGACTGGCTGGGGAGGGCAACTTTGCCCCATGCTGTCCTCCATATTTACCTCCTACTCTGTGGATGCTTCTACCCCTCTCCCATCATGTCAAGTGCACAACAAATGGATAAAGAAGGGAAAGGAGAATGGGGAGGGGAGGCAAAGAATGTGCAATGGTAGGGGGCTTCCATCTTGTACTTGGTTTCACAGTTTACACTTGTTCAGGCACTTTTTTGTTTGTTTTGTTTTTTCTGTTAGGTTCTGTTGTTACTGGTGTTTTGGTGTGCTAATCACAGATGGCCTGCCTGGCCATGGTTAAATGTTGTACTTTTTCTAATACTTATTTATAAATAAAGCTTTTTATGTCATCAAGAAAATTTATTGCTATCACTACCTCATATCATAAGTGTATTTAAAATAATAAAGGTAAACAAATGATCTGGGACAATTAGGAATTAGTATGCAAACACTATTCCTCTGTACAGTTAGGTACCTCAGTCCACACATCAATCACTTCTTTATATGAATCCATACTGTGACCCCCCCCCCCAACCACCACATATTTCATAAATGGCCATATCATTCGTAAGTATATTGCTTGGCAATCAAGCCCACCCCCCAAATGCACTGAACCTGCTTCCCAAATTAATGATCCCCAGCCCCAGCTCCCACAGGTACATTCATAAAGATATTAGTTCCCCTCTTTCATTGGGACATGCAAGTCCATAATGTGGTGGCACAAAGCATCTCTGACTTCTGTGGCCCAGGTGCATCCAGCTCCATTTACGGTAGGTGCACTTTCTGACTGAGTGTATCTATTCAGTGGCCCCTCACTGTCATAGGTCCATTCAGGGGGAAATGGCTCACTTCTGGCTTCACACAGATTGTGAAGAGCACAGCAAGCTGCAGTAATTCAAACAGCAGTGATGACACAGCATCCAAACATGTCAGTAAACATCTCAAATGAGATTTCAGTCTATCAAAAGCACATTTAACAACCAGTCCACACCTGCTGAGAGCATAATTAAACCGTCTTTTGCCAGGGCCTCTGAAATCAAGTTTCACAAGCCAAGGCAAAAGGGAATACATGGGATCCCCTAGAAGAATGCTGGGGACAGTAACTCCAGGTATGACAATTTAATTTGGTCAGAGTAGTGTCCCAGCCTGTCCATGAATGTAGACATCTGCTCCGTGAAAAACCCTGGCACCATGAATTTTCCCAGTGCAGTCCATGTTGATATTCATAAATGGATCTCTGTGGTTTACGAGGGCCAGCATAAGAATGGAGTAGTACCTTTTGCAGTTTATGTACTATGTGTTCCTTGAAGAGGGCAAACGATGGGCACATGAGTGCCATCAAGGGTCCTGGCACAGTTTGGAAACTATTCTGGCAAAGCTAGCAGTTACTTCAGGAATATCTTTTATGCCTCCCATCTTGGGGTAAACTGCACCCCTAATTGCCTCAGAAACCTCCAGTACCACTTTACCCACAGGCAACTTCTCAACCCCAAATTGATTAGCAACAGATCCATAGAAGTCAAGGGCAGCCAGCTTCCAGACACCTATAGCAGCCCACTTCTGGACTGGCAAGGGTGTCCTCATGCATGTGGTCGTTATGCTGGAGGGTCGGGGCAAGCTGCTCAGAAAGCTCCAGAAATGTAACTTTCTTCCTATGAATGTTCTGGATGTACTGCTGATCATCTCAGGTCTGTGTGATGATGTGATCCCACCAATCTGTGCTTCTGGCCCTGCACCATATCAATTTGCAGCGTTAGTGCTTGCTTAGTGGCGGTTTGATGGAGTAGTACCATTCTATTTACTTATTCACTCATCTGTTCATTCTTCCTGTTTTGTTTTATTTAATATATCTTTTTGTTCTGTTTACTATTCTTTTACTCTGTGATCTGTGGCAGGTCATTAAAAAAAATTAAGAATGCTAAATCAATACTACCATCATGGTTGAATTTTGCTTATGATATTAACTTTTAAAGACATATACATTGTTGTCTTTTTATTTGAAAGGTCATTAAATGTCTTCGAAGAACTGCTGAATTGTTTATTGATCTCATAATTATATATTTCTTGGTACTTGTGATGTCTGTCTCTTTGTGTAACATTATTTTAAAATAATGTAATAAAATATTAAAGAAAAAATGAAAACAGAGGCCTAAGAATAGATCCCTGAGGCGCCTCCATTTGAAAAGCTCCTATATCAGAGCTGTTGTGTACAATTCCTCAAATAATCTGCAAACCTCTTTATGGAGTCACCTATGAGCCTACAGTATCTCAGTTGTTGGAGTATTTATGGTTGATAAAAATTGCTCCTGCAACTATGTTCCTCATCTATTGAATTAGAGATGTCATTGGTGATGTTAAGTCAAGAGCTGTATTGGTAAAATAATAAGCTCTGAAGTTTGACTATGTTGTAGTCAGAAAAGTCTACTACTGCGGGCATTTGAGATCTGTGAACATGACCTTTTTCAAGTAATTTTTGTCAAACCAGAATGTGTGTCTATCAATACTGTTCTTTTACTTTTTCCTTTAGATCAGGAACTATTCTGGCACTCTTCCAAACAGATGAAAGATCTTGCTTGAAAATGGGAGCAATAATTTAATAAATCAGTTAATGACTTCATTATTGATAATGAAGGCAGTTTAAAGAACTTCAGAACTCTAATAATAACTCTAATAATATGTGTGGCCCTTCTGTGTGGCTTTTTGTATTTTGCTGTCTCTTTTAAAGATGAGGAGATACAAACTGTTGCAGTATTCAAGACGAGGACATACAGTGCCTTTGTTTTATTCCCTTCTCAATACAACCTAATATTGTTCTTGACTGCTTCAGTTCTTTGAGTGAGTTATTCACTGACACCTTGTTCTGTTTTTGAAAAGTTTTAACTAATTTAGAGCCCATCAGTGTGCATGAGTAATTTAACTGGTTCCCTCTAATGTGATTTACTTTGCTCTTGACTATGAAGAATTGCATTTGCCATGTGTATTTGTCCAAATACTTAAATTTCCTCACTAACTTCTCTAATCTTGATTACTTTTCTTTTTGGATGTGGTGTTCACTGAAATTCTGAAAGTGCTGTGAGAAGTTAATTTCACAACGTATGGTTTGGTTCCATATATTTTTTGGCTTCTGAAGACCTGAGAGGAAGTACCGGGTCTGTTGCTAACCCAGATAATGCAATGAAGCACTTTCGAAGATTTCTGCTTGACACTGGGATGTGAAAGAAAGCTAGGTAGTTGAGGCTCAGTTCAGGTGAAGCTGAAGTGATGCTAGAAGTCTGGGAGAAGCACCAGACATCAATTCCTTGATTATGGGTGTGAACCTGCCTTCAGTTACAAGGGTTTTGTTAGGTCTTCACAATATCTGAAGGTCTGTTAGTCTGAACAGGACTAATTTTTACCCCAATTTGTGCTTGGCTAAATGACTGCAATGATTTCGTATATGGATCTCACTCTCATTACCCATACTTTGGTCAACCTGAGATTAGCCTACAAACTGTTTAGCTATCACCTCGGTTTGTATTCACCAATATCATAAACTCATTTGGAAACTTAAGGTAGTGCATGACTGCCTCTTTAAGTGCGGTATCCTGTGACAATATAACACCATTTGCACTACTAGTTTCTGGGTGGAGTTTTACATTTGTTTTTTAACCTATAAATTCCAAGCAGACTGGGATCTGCCTACTAATAAAAAAAACAGGGCAATGATGACTAGGGAGCACTAAGAATTTAGAATTTCTGCATCCCAGCATCTCCCACATTTCTGTTATGTCTAGGCTGCTCGGACCACTCTACAGTTTCCAGAGGTTGTTCAAAGCTATGGCACTGTGTGTGCTGACCATGCCACCTCCTCCTCCTGCTTGCCACCATATCTCCCTGGCAGTAGTGAAGTGGTGGTGCATTTGCTCCCATCTTTTTCTTTTGCTTTCATTATCTTTTAGCCATTTCGGTGCAGTAGAGAGTTTGTTTCTTTGTTCCAAGTCTCCTCCTTGCTTCCTGATTCACGGTTCATGATGTGTCATGGCCACCTTCATGGACCTTCACTAAAGCATCTTCCTTCTAATCTCTGCTGTCCTTTTTAAGGCATGGCAGAACAGCTGTGCAAGCTCTGGGCAAAGTCCAAAAGGTGCTTCATATTTTAGGGAACTTTCCCAGGCTCAGCAGAGGGCAAATTATGCCCAGCCTGCTCCCAGCCAGCTGACCTCAGCTAGGGCACAGAGTTTTGAGTCAGACAGTTATATTGGGGCCCCAACCCCCAAAAGCACCCATGACTCTTCCACAGAAAAACATGACCAGGATACACAGAGCAGAACAGGAAGAGGCTCTTCTGAGACTTCATCCAGATGACCCAGTGGATAAGTCCTGGGGTGACATGAGGCTGCAGACCCCTGTGGGGCTACCAGTCCCTCCTCCCAAGTATTGAAATCAGTCTTGAGAGCCTTTGGAAGAAAAGCAGAGTTCATCGCCTGCCCCACTTCCCTCCTAATTTGAGTCAAGGAACTTTGATCATGAGTCCCTCTCCTCCCCCCCTCAGGTGGAGCGGGACCCTGAAGGGGAGGACTCAGAGGAAGAAGTTTCTAGAGGGCTCTAGGCTCTGTACAAGGCAAGCTGCAAAAGACTGCACTCTTGATCACAACAGGGCAGTAACACCCACAAAGTGCTCCAAAATGCCAAAAAAGCCCAAAAGGTATAAAAGGGGGAAGAAATAGTACAATAAATCCAGGAAGCACTTGTCCTCTGACTCTGACTTCTCCTCCACAGGAAGAAGAGCTTTCAAGGACTTGGAAAAAATGCAACAAAATTTTCGCCCTCAGAAGTTTGAGCCCACATGCAAAGAGGTTGTGTCCACAATACAAATCTACCCTGAGCAAGGTCCTGAGGATAAGCCTCAAAGTAAATACTTTCCCTCAAAATCATCCCACGAAACAGCAATTCCCCTGAACTCCTCCTCTGAGGAAGTGATCAGGGAGGAATGGGAAAAACCTGACAGATAAATATATCAGCAAGCATGACCTTACATTCTACAAACTGCAAGAACCAAAGAATGCTGTTACTGAAGTCCCAAAAGTTGATGCAGCAGTAAGCATCCCTGGTGGAGGACATGGTTTTCCTTCAGAAGAGGAATTCTTACTTAAAGATCTGACAGGAAAGTGGAATTCAGAAGGGATTTTGAAGCTTCCTCAGAGTGCCCCTCATAAGCATGTACTTTGCAAGAATTTTATTGTTATGGCTGGAGGACTCTAGGGCCATGAAGGTCAGAGTCCACCCAGATACCAGCTCCATACTTAAGAAAATTTCCCTGGCAAGAGCATTCATGGCTGACACCTCAACATACTCAATGAGATTCTCAGCCAAGGTCTAGGGCATCCATCTCAGCAGCCAGGAGGTATATATGGCTCCACCCCTGGAAGGTAGATGCTCACTCCAAGCAAGTTATGTGCTGCTGTAAGTTCACAGACTCTCTCCTTTTTGGAGAAAAGCTAGAAAAAATAGTGACAGAAAATGCTGCAAAATTAAAGCAGACTCTCCCTTCTCTGCTGAGTGCTCTAAGAAGGGAGTACAAACCCACTTTCAGACAGAGATGTTCTTTTTGCCCATCCTCCTCACAGAAAAATCAGAGGAAGGATACCCGACACCTCAAGGGCAAGTCTCCCATATCCGCAACTCTGCCAAGTGTGAGCTGATCCAGAATGAGATCTGCCATCTCCTGGACTTAGAGAGTTCCTTCTATTGCTCCTTAGAAGAAAGATTATGAGATTTCCACTCCATCTTCTTTATTGCTCAGAAGTGCACCAGAGGAGTCCCTGACCTCAACAAGAGGCTGAACAAGTAAATGAAGAAGAAAAAGTTCCAGATGGAGACCCTAGCTTCCACAGTGTCATCCCTATTGCAAGAGGATCTTCTAACCTCAATGGATCTGGTACATACATCTCCATATGCCACCTTGGCCATCACAATATTCTGGGATTTGTTTATAGCACAGATCATTACCAGTACTGAATGCTCCCATTTGACCTCTCATAAGCCTTCAGCGTCTTTAGAAAGATGCTGGTGGTGATCATAGCCAGATTCAGATTGCAGGGTACTCATCTTTACCCATTTCAGGGCATTCTGATTAGAGCTCCGACCCAGACTACGGATCTGTGCACACCACGATTCAGACACTGAATCTCCTTCAGATGCATGACTTCATAATAAACATCAAGAAGAGTTCCTTGATTCTCTCAACAAAGCACCTGGGAGTGGACATAGACACCTCAATGGAGAAACTCTACCCATCACTCAAAAGATTCCAGAAGAGCCATGATCTTACATCCATATGGCAAGAGTGCATGAGACCAACCATAGCTCAGCATCTTCAGCTATTTACTGGGTCTCCTAGGATATGTCTACACTCCATCTGGGAGCGAGCATCCCAGCACAGGTTGACAGACTTGCACTAGCATGCTAAAAATAGCGGTGTAGACATTTCTTTGACATTGGGACTCATCAGTAGCATTGGAGTTTCAGGATCTTCGGGCTCTCTGGTAGAGAACACCCAAGTACCAGACCCCTCAGAGCAGTCAGATTGGCCAGACTGGCTGGCAGACCAATTTCCAACTTTTGACTTCAATTTCAGCATTGAATCTCTCTATCCAAACCTGTTTTCTGGTTGCCATTATGTCTGCTACACCGGTGTCAGAGCTGGCAGCCTTATCTATGCAGGCGCTTTACTGCATGTGTGAGATAGCTTAGTGGCTTGAGCATTGGCCTGCTAAACCCAGGGTTGTGAGTTCAATCCTTGAGGGGGCCATTTAGGGATTTGGGGCAAAAATCTGTCTGGGGATTGGTCCTGCTTTGAGCAGGGGGTTGGACTTGATGACCTCCTGTGGTCCCTTTTAACCCTGATATTCTATGATGACAAGGTGGTGCTAAGAACTCTGCAGTCATGTCTCCCCAAAATGAACTATTCTATCCAGGCTCCTGAGGAGATTATCCTTCCTTCATTCTGTTCAAGGCATCTGACCAAGAAGCTGTGGCAACCTTTGACATCAGAAGAGCACTAGCAATTTACACTTAGTGTACAGAATCCATGAGATTAGACACATTGTTTCCTTCCACCCAAAGTATCAAGCACTCAGAACTTCCAGGCTTTCCATTGCATTGTGCAGACCTATAAAGTATCAGGCAACCCTATTCCCGAAGGCATCTCCTCAATTCTACCCATCCTGGCTTGTTAGCCAAGGGATCAGCTTTTATTTTGACAGTTACTGCATACGGTTGCCTGCTGTGCATATGTAATGAGTTAGCATTTGATGTTGTTAATATCCTTTTTCAAGTTCTACATGGCTTTGGATTAACTCCTCTGGCAACAAGTAATAGAAGGAGGCATGGTCAGTACATGCTGTGCTGCAGCTTTGAACTGCCTCTGGAAACTGAAGAGTGGAGAGGGAGCAGCCCAGACGTAAGGGAATTCTGGGAGACCCTGCTAGCAGAAAGGAAATTATTTGGTAAGAAATTTTCCATTCAATCTAGCCAGACTGAAAGTGAGTGATATAGAGAGATATGAAATGAATGTGCATCCCAGAAAAGGTTATAAACGAATAGCATGAACGGGTTAAAAATGAACAGCATGAATGTTTGGTGGTGTGAGAGGGCACTTGTTTGGCCCATAGGGCATACTTTTCAGAAGGTTACACAGCGGCATGTGTGTGAGAGGCAAAACTCAAATAACCACAGCTACTGTAGCAACTAACCTGTTTTTTTTTAATTGCAACAGGCAGGGCTGGCTCCAGGCACCAGCTTAACAAGCAGGTGCTTGGGGCGGCCAAGGGAGAGGGGCGGCACCTGTGACAATTCAGGGGTGGCAGGTCCCTCACTCCCTCTAGGAGCGAAGGACCTGCCGCTGAACTGCCGCCGCCGATCGCGGCTTTTTTTTTTTCCAATTGCCGCCGTCGATCACAGCTTTTTTTTTTTTTGGCTTGTGGCGGCAGAAATGCTGGAGCCGGCCCTGGCAACAGGCCAGCAGAGGGAAACTACCATATAAAGTACTTTTCTGCATGTGCTCAATAAATGGCAGATTGCTAGCATTCATGTCTACATGGTTCTCTGAGAAAGCATTGACTGAAAAGTGGACTACTGAGATTACCTTGTAACTTTCTATTGATAACATCTCATTTAAACAAGACTTGGGGACATGCATGCTTTTGGTCATTTGGAAATTGGTTGGCTGTTTAAAAAACTTCTTTCGTTATTGTTTCCAAACACCACAGGTTACCAGGTACACTGGCTCTGTGAACTAGCTTTCCAGGATAGAGAACAATGTGGAAATTCACTTATTACATGCGGCAATAACTGCTGGAGAATGAATGCATTTTTTTGTATACACTGAAAGTGAAAATTAGTTCACTGACTAAGGCACAATGGTTTCTGTCAGAGACTACCATCTACATATTTAAGCCCTTGGAAGAGTTTGTCCATGAGATTAGTTCTGGAGATGTTGGCATATTTGTCATGGTGCCAGCTGCCAGGATATGGAACTGATGAGCTAGGCCATGAAAAAGACAACTTTATATTCTGCTTCTGAGCAGTTTACCGAAGTGAAAAGTAGGGAAAAAATATGGTCACTTGAATGCTCACTCTTGAATTCAGCTTCTGAAACTCACCACAGTAATGCCAGGGCTTCTGCACTTAAGACTGGCTGAAGAAAAGTAGAAAAGAACCACCAAATCAAACACTAGGAAAAAATGCAACATAGAAAAGAAAGAGACTCCAGTCATCCAGCAACCTAATAAATAAAGCCTGCTTTGAAACTTTAAATGTGTGGAGCTTCTAAGAAAAGACCATGATCAATTCTCAGACCCCGATAACTAAAAAGTGCTTCCTAGACTGAACTTGCACTACACCTCACAGAGCCAATTATGCTCCGGAGACCCAGCTGACTGGTAGATGTATAATGCTATCAGACTTCCACATCTTGTAAACCTGGCTTTGTCTTTTCTCAGAGCTCTACCCCAGCAGTGTTCCCTCTGAAAGGCTCTTCAGCTATTTAGAGAATGTTACATCTGACAACAGATGCCAGCACCTGCCAGAAAATGAAGGAAGGCTTGTCTTTTTGAAATGTGATCTACCCATACTCAGTTTTAAATACTATTAATGGCTATTATTTGTAATTCTTTGCCAGATTATTCAGTTTTTCTGTCTACTTTATTGCACCATAAATTTAGTCTTCTAGAAAGCTTTCTGCTTATTACTGATTACTGAAGCATTTACAAAATATACTGCTGTATGTTTTAAACCAAGCTGCTACCACTTTTAAAATTACTTTCTTTACAAGCTTTTTCTACAATTTATAAGCTATGTTCATCTCAACTGTGCCATGTGGTGATATATTGTATTAAACAGATATTTAAATTTACATAAGTAAATATTTAATATAAATATTCTTCACAAACTGCATGATATTTTACTACATGAATTTTGAGTAATTTACAAAACCGTTATCAAAATATTTAGTATCAGACAATTCTAAAGAAGTTGGTCACACTTTTAACTCAGTTACACTATGGTCTCTTTAAGGAAAAAAGCCTGACCTTTCCTATATCGTATTTAAAACTATTTTGGGTTTGGTTAGGAACTCCTTTTGATGTAGGAAGGGTCTGCATGTTGGGACAGACTTTTCAGCAGGTACAAGAAACTCATTTTACAAATAGGCTGTCAGACTAAATTTAACTGGAAGAAAAATGAAAATAAAAACACTTTGCAGTTATATATTGTCTTTCATCCCCAAATACAATTAATATTTTTTCCTATTTACCAGCACACTGATGCACACACTGTACATCCTGAATATAATTTTCAAGTGTATTTTTTCAGTTGTGTAGCAGGATTTACCTGCATGACTCACATTGGCAGTAATAGGAGTTGTGACACTAAATCCTGGAACAGCGTGCTGAAAATTTATCTGTGTTACATGTCTGATTTAGGGCCTGATCCAGCTCTAATGAAGTCATTGGGACTCTTTTGCATTGACTTCACTGGGAGTTGGAATAAACCCTTAACACATTAAAAAGAAAAGTAGAAACTTCATTGACAAAGTGTAGAATTTTTTTAAGTAAAAATAAAAGGTATCTCTTAAAGGAAATGTAGCCTATTCTGAATTATGCTAATAGAATGGAACAAACACTGGTCTAAGAAAATCTGTAAAACAAAAAGGCAAAGTTATTTAGTAAAGACAAGTTATTTTAGTACATCAGAAGTAAGAATCCAGTGGGAGAGTCGATATGTCTACTTCATCTCTAGGATGTAAAGGGGACAATCAAAGACCCTTATGAAAGGCAGGGCCTTAGAGAATAAAGAGATTACAGAAAAGCTGAAGGATTTCTTTGCATTGGCCTTCATAGAGGATGAAGGGGAAATACCTACTTAATTGGTCGATTTTTAGATGTATTGAAGGTATCAGATGATGGAACAACTCAAGAAATTAAATTGCAATAAATCATCAGGACCAGATGGTATTCATATAAGATTTTTAAAGACACTAATGACTAAAATAGCTACACTGACTAACAAAATTGTTATTTATATCTATATGTACCATAAGCCTGAAGGTTGACCAATATGCATCATCTCTTTAAAAAGATGCCAAGAGTAAACCCAAGAAGGATAGAATCCCTATTTAACTGGTGCTAATCAGAGTCTGTAAGGGGTTTAGATATTTGTTTGGAGTCACATTGCATTTGTTTTTGTCACCCGTTCATTGCCACAATAAGCTTTATTCTTATTTATTAATTGGCGTGCATTGATTTGTCTATGGCAGTCATCACCACAATGTCTGAGCACCTCACAATACTGAACTTACTTCTAGAATTCAGAGTTCCCTACCATTATTATTTGAAACCAGTTTGTTACAGTGAAAGTGTATGTAGTTAACTCCTTCTGTGCTGGTTGTTAACACTACATGCTTGTTTGAAAAAATGCTAATTTAAAGAGGCATAGCTTTCATCACTCTTTGAAGGTAGTGAGATTCATGCTCACCTTGATCTCAAGAAGTATCTTCCATAATTAGCACAACTACTGTAAACTACACACCACATCCATTGCTATGGGGCTGTCAGCCATCCAGCATCCCCTTCTGCCAAATTCTCCCTAGCCCACCTCATGAAATGAAACACCAACATTCCATAACTAATATTGTTTGTAGTAGATCGGCATATGGGGTACTGGCCTTCCAAGTGAAGGTACAATTAAGGTTGTGTATGCAGTGTGCACTATGGTAGATGGGATAGCAGGAAAGTATGTGCTTGTGGATGGAGAGAAAAAGTAGGTATCATTAGATGACTTCACTTTTCATTACCTTTCTTTTGCAGTTTTGTGTCAGCTATTTTATTACACTTTGAAAAATCGGTGCCCATAGATATCGGCTAGTTAGCCACTCACTAGCTGTAAGACAGGTTTACCTGATCCTGAGATATTTTTTTTTGCCTTAGTATATGGTAATTCTAATGTTGCAGCACATTTAAGGGAAAAAGATATAATATTTTAGACATATACCCAATAAATGGCACATGCCCATATATGTTCCTCTTTGAGGAATTGCACTTCTGTACCCATAAGGCATTGAAACATTGTTCTTAAAGTACATGAGAATTCTTTATAGATGTCCATAATATGGTATTTTTATCTTTACATTACTTTATTGTAGTATGTTTTACAATAGTTACGATTTTAATAAGGTTCTGAATAACCAGTTGTTAAAGCTTCATTTTAATTAGATTTAAAATCTTTCCACAATGTGCCTAAAATATCCACTATTTCATCTCATATAGAATGTTTAATATAGCTTGAGTAAGCTTAGGAATAATAAAAGCCCATTCTCCATGTTCCTTTTTCAAAATTATGGCAAAAATTTGTGATTGGTCATTTTTTTCATCATCGTAGAGAAGACTACAATACAGTATTCTGCCATACCAGTAGATTGCAGGCTTGTTGTGGTTTTTTTCCTCCAGTGATATGATCCAATGGTGTTTTGTTTGTTTTTTCTTTATTTAAAAGAGCTAGCATACAACTATTTCTAGGAAGCTTAAAGAGTGCCCTCTTCCATATTTGCCTTTGTAAAAGACAGTACTATAAATCTATTCAGAGCATTTATGCCTTTTTGTTTTGTCAGGTTTTATAACAGCAAATTATCCATTTATCTGTAATAAATGTTGGGTTTTATATTTGATTAAGCTAAAGGCATTTTTTCCAAATCTTCTATAGAAATATAGAATATAAATTGGTTAGTATGGATTGCCTATAGCAACAGATCTTTCTAATGAAAATGTTCATTGAAGACAAAGTCAATGGGTTTTATACACAGCTTTGAGATTGTTCAAATCACCAGCAGTCAATATTTTGTTGTCCTAATGTTTATACCTAAGAGCCTAATTCATATGCAATCATTAGATGTGTTTTCATAGGTTTCCCATAATAACTACATGGAAAGACGGCAGAATATACAGTAGGTGTCCATATTACAATCACATACAATCACATGAGATTAAAAAAACTTCTTTTCATGATTTATACAATACAAGGTTTTGTAACCCTTAAAACAAATATCCAACTGAAAGGAGATTTTGAGTCTCCCAACAGAACATACTATATGTGGAGTCATGAAAAATATAATTAAAAATTCAGCATTTGTACATTTCTCAGCACCAGTGTTGCTATAAAACCCATGCACTATTTATCCATTTAGCACAATTATTTACTGTTCAACAGATATACAGTTACCATAGCAACAACTACATTTACGGCTCCAGAATAAATGGAAGGCCTAATCTGTCCCACCAGTAATAGAAAAAGCTTTTTAAAATTCAGTTTATCTGCTGACTCTGTAATAGAGATTAGTGGTACTCAAATTACGAACCATGATCTGGTTGCAGCCTGTCAACTTTGGTCTTGTAGGCCACTCTGACACTCAGGCCATTGCCTGACTGCATATTCAGTTACTCCTTCAATAATGGTAGTGCTCTAGATCCGTGTCTAGGTTTAGTCTTTGAAATGGTAATTGATGAAGCCTTGAAAACCAGTCTGAATCAGTGGTACCTAAGTTTAAAATGAGAGACTCTACAGCCAGCTATTTCTGACTGTTGGAATTGGCAAAGTCATTCAGTGTTAAAGAGGGGAGTCCCACCACATGCACCTGGTAGTAATCACAATGGAATGCTACTTCAAAATATTATGATTTTATTATTATTAAAATTACAAAAATAGTTAATTTTTAAAATTAAAATTAAGAGAAGATGTTGGTTTTCCTTGAAAAGAAATAGATTACAATTTTTTCAAAGCAATTTAATATAGAACTATGTTGCATTCCACTTACAGCATTTCTGCTTAAGGACTTATCTATATGGGAAGATACAGACCATTTGGACACACTGTTCTGTAATAAAAGTCACTTATTCTGGAATAATTAGTGCATTTCCAAAGCAGAATAATTATTCTGAAATAAAATAACTTTTATTTTGAAATAGAATATCCACATGGGAGCTACAGCTGTTGCAGAATACTTTATTCCATAGTAGTTATTTTGGTCAATTTCCCTGTGCAGACAAGCCCTTATTCCCTTTTCTGGGTCTTATCACTGCAATAGCAAGCAGTTAATCTGGCTGTTGCACGGGTGTATTTTTATTTATTTTTTTGGTCAAGATCCTTCCCTTAGTAACACTTTGAAGAGTTGTGCAGGTTGAATCCCTCCATTTGGAAAACAGCACCACTCCAACCTAATCAATATCCCTGCAGTAATTACAATGATCTGATTGTGCATTCACTTAAGTCAATGGCACTTTCATAGGAAAAGATTCAGGCCCTTAATAAATGTGTGTGCATGCACAAGTGTAGCTTTCTGCTCTAGGGTTGCTTTCTCTATTATTGTTACAAATGGCCAAACACAACATTCATCTTCTAAGCAAGAGTGAAACCCACAGTAGAAGCAAATGGTAGACTCCATAATACTTTAAGTATTATGGCAGAAAATTGCACCCCAGAATAGTTAGATCAGTACAAAAACTGGGTGTAGACCCAGCCTTTACCTTATCATATATATTAAAGCCTCCTTACTAAGTTGATGCAGGTCTGATTTATTTGAAATTAAAAAGACTTCAAGATAATCTATCTTGGATTACATATTTTAATTTTAAAGGGTGCTTTAAAGAAT